GTTTTCTTTAATGTAAACATCACTAAATCTAGTTCAAAGAAGTCTAAACATTCACATTTAGTTTTATTGCCAGCCTAGAGCAAAATGGAACGATGCCTACTTTTATTCATATCATCAAGTCCCCGTGGTATACAAGTTCTATCCTCAAGTATTCATAAAGCAAGGCGTGTGAACTTTTGTCAAAAAGACTATAAACACTCTTGTAATGTTAGATATAAAATCTCGAGTTTCTTTCAAGAGTGATTCTACAGATGTAAACGGCAAATGATGTACGCAAGTAAGCGTGGTCTGTTTCTTCTACATAAAGTTCTGTTCAAGGTGACAGTTGTACACACAGTAACACATGAAGCTATCCAAACCAGTATAACCAAACCATTAAATGTGTGGAAATATAATGCAGTGTGAGATCTTGATAAACTGGTTTTGTATAGCTTGATGTGAATATTGACAAGTTTTTTATATTATTATCTTCTTGCATTTTACGACTAACATTTTTCACCGAGAGATATTTGTTGGACAACTGTCAAACTTTGTTTATTGTGATGACAGCTTGTTGTAAAATGATATAAAATAAATTGTGTGGAATTTTTAACTTAAGTTTTCTTTGATTAAATGGCTGACTGGATGAAGATGTATAAAAATAGTTTAGTGTGTCAAACTACGATACGTAATTCTTGCTTAATTAAAAAAAAAACTAACAATGGCATTCAGTAGTTTCTATAGTGTGATTAAAATAAATTACTCACCTTTTAAAATTCATACATACTATGTATGAATTTTAAACAACATACCAACCCAACATACATCCCAACTGATAGAATAAACTTTCATTTTTCCTAAAATATAACTATTTAATAAGTGACGTGCCCTCGTCAAACAGTCCTAACAATGATGGGAGGACCGAAGGCACACATTGCATATTCAGTCCTCTGGAGAGGTTGTGTACTCAGGACCTTTGTCAGGCCTCCCATATCACAAGGCCAAAACCAGGCCATAAAGCGATCTTTTGTCTGACATCATAATGGCTCTGATTTCCAATATCCAATAGGGATTTGTGTCTTAATGTCTATTCCGGAACGGTCCTCTGTTGTAACTCCCTGTCAACGGAACGGATCCTTTTGGTTTATTAATAGAATTTTAAGTTCAAGGCTTAGTCGGCCTTGGTGTTTAAATTGAAGATTTTTCAGTCTTTTATATATATAAAATAAGTATAATCCTAGAACAGATAAGCATCATCATTTTTAAGTAGTGTTATCAAATTAATTACTGTTTGGAGTATTTAGTCAACGTTGTAAAGGGAGAGATTCTACCAAAATGGCTGGTCTAAAAATAGAACTCATATTTGTCTGTGGCATTTGCAACCATTATACCAATGAGGCTGCTGAGTGCAGCCCACATTACTACAGCTCTTTAACATAAACTCCAACATCTTCACCCCTCAAACAAATAATAGGAAATATAAAGTAATGAGTTACAATTTAGGCGTTCCTCCCCGAATTACACACAATACGCCTCGGTCGGCTCATTACCAGCCTGTTACCAACATTTTCAGGTGCTTTCAGGTATTTTCAGCATCATTACCATCTACACCGTAATTATTATACGCAGCATCAGGTGATTACGTCAAAATGACATGAAAATTTAGTGAAATATTTTCAGGATGAGTGTCATCATGAGGTTTAATAGTGGTACCTGACATATACAGTAATAGACACATCATGTGTTATACTGGGAAGGAGACTGTTACTGAGTAGCACTGAGTTTTGCTCGTTTAATGTTACGAGGTACATTTAATATCCTTGCTTAGCATCGAAAAGTTACTTCTACTCTTGTACAATTACATTTGGAAAAACTACAGGTAAAGATCTTTACGAACCCAAAAGATTGCGAACTTTAGAGTTTCGTATTCTGGAAAATTATTTATTTTACATATTGAGTTGAAGTTATACCATCCAAATGAATATGCTTGTTTAATGGAGTTGCCATTACATTTATATCAGGCGTTGAGACTAAAAAAAAGGTAAATTATTTTGTTAGCAAATTGTCTGTTAGTAATATTACGATATTTTGTATTTGATTACATTTTTTCAGCTAAATTTTGACGTTTAGTTGGTAAATAACGAGTTAAGAGTCCTTCTATCAAGATCTACAAATTGTTGTCTTTTTATTAAAAACACCTCGTAAAATAAAAGTAATCTTGACATTATACTTTTCCTATAAATATTTTAGATAAGAAGCACATTAATTCAAGTAGCGTACATGACAGTTGCCAGAACTCTTTGATCTACAAAGTACAAAGAGTAAAGCGTCACGCGCAAATTACGGAACTCCCGGTTCGGGAATAAAGATGAAAAAAAATCTGGAACATTAAAAGATGTTTCCCTCGCAATCTCGCTTTGGATCAACCGTAACGATTATATCTACTGCTTTAGACGGCCTAGTGCAAGTTTGTTTTATGTTAATGCCATCGACACATTTATGATATACGGCGTTCTGATTGGCCAGCTCAAATTGACCAACCAATGAGAGGGCTATAGGCGGTAAAGTTTCGACCACGTTCCCTCTCTCAGTTTCTCGTTTAGGCCCTCAAACCGCGAGGTGTGGGGTTCTCAACAGTTCCACAGCTAGTTATCTTTTGTTCTGCATTAAGATAACGTTATGTTAAGTCGTTGTTTTTTATTCATCGTTATCGTTTCTTTTTTACCGTTTATGTGGTGACTGTTGTATGGGGAGTGATTATACGATATTGTGCTTAAAAAATATTTTTCCGTATTATATTATGGTCTGAGATGTCGTGGTGGCCCGGAGGTTTAAGACGCCCACTTCTCATGCATGAGGGTGCGGGTTCGAAACCTACCAACGGCAAGTACCAATGTGACTTTTTCCGAGTTATATGTACTTTCTAAGATTATTTAGACACCACTGACAAACGGTGAAGGAAAAACATCGTGAGGAAACCTGGACTTATAATTTCTAATCATAAGTTTGAAATCGCCAACCCGCATTGAGCAAGCGTGGTGATTAATGCTCTAACCTTCTCCGTGTGAGAAGAGGCTTTGCTCAGCAGTGGGCATTTATAGGCTGTTGATGATGATATTATGGTCTAGATATCCGCTGTATGGAAGTGGTTGTTGGGTCAGTGCTGCAGATTGAATGTGTCTTACTTTTGGAAGGCATGTCAGTGGATGGTAATGACGACAAGAATGGTTCAGTAGTTAAAATAATATCTATCTTCTATCTTAAAATTCTACTCATTTCAATGTTGAATCGTCAAGCCCTCTTTTGATTCTTAACAAAACATTAATGAAAGTATACGAACCCTTTATAGCAGTTTATGAGAAACACAAAGACTCCGGACATGAGTTCACTGGTGCGCGCAGCAGTCGCCAGTTGTTGGCAGTTATGGAGAATGACGCCAGTTGGACACACAGACAGAACCGACTGTTAATGACGAGAGAGTATAAATGTGACAAGCTACTGGTTAGCATTATTTACGTAGGTACTTCGCAATCATGAGCAAATTGTTAAGAATTTTTTGGATTTTTCTTCTTTCATAAATCTATGAAAGATACTTTAAAACTTTTTTACAAGTCAAGTTCGTTTTAAATTAGTTTGGAATTGAAAGAGTTTTTTTTCTTTAAATAAACGTTGCCCTACAATAGGATTTTCTCCTGTGCCGTGGTAGCGTTTACAAACATACAAGTTCACATACACATGTCACCCAGACCCGGAACAACAATTTGTGGAATACACAAAGAGTTGCTCCGTGCGGAAATCGAACCCGCGACACGTTGCGCGGCAGCCGGACCGCACCAACCATGTTGTCCATTGGTATGTAAACATAATCTGAGATTGAAATAATCTACGTAAGTGCCTATTTACATGCCTATACAGATGTTGGTTTTCCTAATTACCCAAGAATGAATCTAAAGCTTTTAACTTGTAACGTTCAAGTTAATTGTTGGGCTACCGTCAACCTTTTTCAATTTATTCTCTTTATATATCTTAATGATGAATGAACTGTGCTTTATGGATGTGAAACCACATCTGTAAATGTTTAGAAGACTGAAATATATCGGGGTCACTTTTATGTGGTTTGGGACATATTTATTAATTTTGAAAGGTTAGGTTAGGTAAATTAAAAACTTTTTTAATCTTGAGATATACCTTCTTTAAGTTATGATACCTAACTATCCGTCCAACACTCTCAGACACTCTAATTGTAAGAATCTGTGAGCAAAATCGCATTAGAAATCGTTAAGTAGTTTTTGAGTTTTCACAGTAGCACAGTTTTCTCACAACGGGATCACGAAAAACGTAAAATAGAATTGTAGTATAATTCTTGTTGTACATTTCTTTAATATTGTAGAAGTAAAACTTATTTTATCAGAACCTTCGTCGGCTTTTTCATTACCCACTCTCGTAAAAAACTGTCTTTATTTTTTACGAATCTAAAAAAGTAAAAGTTTTCTGGAATTGAGCAATATTTCAAGTAGTTTAATACAAATAAATCACGCGATAACTGGGTTTGAGGCAGGTGGAGTCTGGCAGGAGCCAGATAACAAGCGAAGGAGATGAGGTGCTGTTGTCTGGTATTTATGACTTAACTTTTTAAGTAGGTATCTGGATAACCCAACCCTCTAGCTATAAGGGATTATTTTCAACTTTTTTCATGGGATAAAGGAATAACGAAATCTTTACTTAGTGTATAATTATTATTTTCGGTATTATATTATGAAAGTGGCTAATATACTTGGTCGTGAATGCTATTAGTTAAGGTTCAATGTTCGGTCTCTTGTAAGCAGAATCTTAACTAGAGAACGATCATCAAAACCCATGTGTTCTATTTAGATTTTTATATAAGAGTAGATATTAGGCTCAGTATTTGTTTGTTTTCTAGTACAATGAAACTTGTAGTATATTAAATATTAAGTTACCACCGTTATCTTGGATGCAACCGATGAAAACTAAAAAAAAGAAGCAAATAAAAGTCAATGACAAAGATTTTACGCAACTTTAATAAAGAAAGCGATAAGAGTCTCAGTTGTGTATTGAGACACACACACATACACATTATGGCATCACAGTCAAGCATTCTCCCCTACATGTAACAACACTAATACTAACCTTTTATGTACATAGCCTACACACAATATCATATTTACAGACGCAAGTCTTCAACATTTCATGACATTAAGTATTTAATACAATTTCTAGAACACTGAAATCTTCATTTTTGGTATTTCTTAAACAAACGAGCCTCCTCTCAATAATTTTAAGCCTAGTCTAATATATCTACCAAGAGTACCTAAGAATTTTATTATATCCCGACGTTAATGTTGAAGATTCCCAAATAGTGCTTCTGCAAACTTGCCGAAATATTGCACGTCGGGGTAGACTGGCACGTCCACCATGCCGTACTCAGGGTGAGCCAGGTACTGCTGGGGTGGAGCATACAGAGCTTGGATGCGTGATATCACCGGCCCATGGTACGATTGTAGCGAGATTCCAGAATGTGATACTTTCCCTGGCTGCTCTTCAGTTTTCCCCGTAGTTAGTTGTGGTTTTGCCTGTTCTGGCTGATGTTGATTGTCTGTCGACGTTGTTGACTGTTTAGATTCTTCAAGAGGATTGGTGGCTACTTGGTCTTGGTTTTTAGGTTCTAAGTTATGTTGTTGGTACTGCTCAGGTTGGGACTGGGCCTGTTCTATTGTCTGTTGTTGTTGCAACTGTTCTGCAGACTGCTGACTCTGCAATTGATCGGGCTTAACCGGATGACGCTGAAGAGGGTGCGCTTGTTGCAAGATCACATATTGTTGAGGTTGTATCTGTTGAGACGCGAACTGCTGTTGCGGAGAGCCTGACTGACGAGGTACGTGTCGATATTGTTGGGAGTGTGTCTCGTGGAGTTCTTGTTGGTATTGTGGGGGTTGCAACTGTTCGAATATCTGGTGGTGCACTTGAGAATGCAGTTGGTGTTCTTCATGTTCTTGCAGAGGGTATTGTGAAGTGCTGGAAGGTTGGGGAGAGGGATCAAAAAATAATTCTTGAATTTCCTGTTTTTGAATTACTACATCATGTCGTGGTTGCGTCCCTACTGATTGAGTTGGTCGCTGTTGAGGCTGTGGTGTAGAGTACTCATTGTGCAAAGGTGGCTTGTACGTTGTTGGTCTTGTCAGAGGTAAAACTGACGCTGGCAGAGACAGAGGAGTTTCATCGGTTTCTAGCGGCTGTGGTGTTTGTGACTCTGAATTAGTTTTCAACTGCAGAATATTTTCTTTAGACTCATCTTGATTATTAAACGCAGGTTGTTCGGTTGTTGATGAAACGAATTGGTCAGTAAAGGGCTGTGCGCTCTCAGTGGTCGTTGGAATAGGTTGCAATGTTGTCGGTAAGAATATGGGCGTCGTACGAGAAGGCTTCAAAGGTTTAACATACTTGTTGTAATTAGGTTTCAAGGGAGGTAAAGGTGTGTGCTGCCGCTGAGACAATACCGGTGCTATCGGTTGGTCGATGTGGTTTGTAGGTTGTGGAGTGGAATGTTCATCGTAATTATACGGTCGTGATTCCGAATCTTTAGGCGACGGCGAGCTTGTTTGTGGAAAATAGGATTCTGCAGTTAGGACTGACTGAGGTAACGGTTTGAATGCAGGTATTTCAATAATTTGACCTTTACTTACCGGTCGAGGATTTTGGAAAATTAAATGATGTGGAAGTTCATTCACAACGTCTGCCTGATTTGGAATATGTTGTTTGTAGGTTATAAACTGATGTATCGGTGGATATGCCGGTTGGCCATATTTTTGTTGTTCCTGAATGATTTTATGGAATATTTGTGGATACTGGAACCTGGATTGTTTTATTGGAACTAATTTATGTTGGTGTTGCTGAAGGGCTACAGGCTGGTGTTGTACCGCTACCTGTCCAAGTTGAGCCGAAGCGATTTCTTCAGGTTGAGTATAATGTATATTGTTTGGTGGAGCCTGCATCACTGTTTCGTACTGCGCGTGGAATGGTATGTTTTGAGAGTAACTTGCAAAGCTAATAGCACCATTTGGATGAGCGTGGTAACCCTGAAAGAAAAAAGAAAGAAATGTAGTTGGTTCTTGCGTAAGTGATTGTTTTTTTATATTTATTTAATAAGGGGGGGGGGGGGTGTTATTCCGCTATTACAGAATACAAAATTCAGTACATCCTAATATAAAGAAGCTAAATGTTTACAGGTAGATTGCTGTTTGTCACTATGTATGTTTAGATCTAAAACTACGCAACGGATTTTGATGCGGCTTTTTTAATAGATAGAGTGATTCTTAAGGAAGGTTTATATGCATGCATATTTCACCCGTTGCGAAGCCGGGACGGGTCGCTAGTTTAACATAAGATAAAAGTTTGTACACACCTGTTTAGGTGTAGATATTTCGTTCTGCACTTGAGCTCTTTCTGTAGTTTCTGCTTTCAATTCTTGACTGTTTTCTTTAATGGGGAATTCTTTCTCTCGGTTATCATCGGAGTCACCGTAGTTATATGCAGGATTAATGGGGATGAATTGATATATTCTATTCTGCTGAAGATATTGGGATGGGACCACGTGGCCTTGGTATCTGATGGGGCCGAGTTGATCGTAAATCGGGAATATTGACGACATTGGTTGCTTGAGAATTGTCTGAGGTTGGTAAAGTTCTTGCGGTAAGTTTGGGTGCACTCGAGGGAATCCAGGGTCTGCAGGAGGGTAAGATTCAAAACGAACTCTCGGTTGCTTTACAGAGTACAGAGCTACGCTGGGAAAGTCTGCTGTCTGTGGCGGGTGCAGTCTCTGCTGGTTATCGTTGTCTGCTTTTTGGCCTTTATATGTTTGTGGGTAGGCCGCCACCTGCGATGCTGCTGGTTCCTGCACCTCGAATGATGTTGGTGATCCTAGCTGTAATCAATAATAATACTTCATTGTTACTTACTGAATGTAAATATAGTTGACTTATCTTGTAAATTAGCAGTAACAATGAAGATATCTTATAGAGATAAGATACGTAGATGAGTCAACGAGGGTCCCTGCTTCCGAAAATGTTGAAAGGATAGACAGTCCACTTCTTTGTAATAGAGACCATTTTAATTTAAAACTATAAAAAAATCGAGAAGTTAAATAAGTCTCTTGCTAAATATACCTACATAACTACGATATTTGAAGTTTTTTAAAAACTTCAAGTCAACAAACTTCAATGAGGGCGAATAAAATTCGTGATTTTAATACATTACGTGGTTTTGGCACAGACAGGATTTGAATGTGAATCGGTTTGGCAGGCTCGCGTGTTTAGTGTTTACGACCAATAACTCGCTTATTGACTGCTGATGCCAAATGTGATGTGTGATTATATTCCGCACGATATACTACTAGCATGGCTTATTATATGGTTTGTTTGACGTTTAATTATTGATGGCTAATACTATTACCTGGCAGCTGGCACACACGTTAAATAAATGTATATTAGTGTACACTGCAACCGTGTATGTTAATGTTTTGTGATTGCGTGGTTGACGTAGGTAAGTGTTACAATTCTACCCCTCACGGATAAGATAATTTTCAACATACAAGTTCACATCACACAAAGAGTTGCTCCGTGTGGGAATCGAACCCGCTACACGTTGCGCGGCAGCCGGTTGCCCAGCCACTGCGCTCAATTTTAGATACGGTACTATAATTATGTAATTGAGCTTACCCGGGTATGGTACACGGAAATTGGAGAATAGAGGTGTTTGGCGAGAGCTGCCTCGAAGGCGGGACCCTGTCCACTCAGCACATCGGAGATCTTGCTTATAGGGGGCAACCGCACTCCGAACACTTGCTGTGGAAGAAAACACCCTATCATTAGTGACAGAAAGTTCAGAGTAGGTTGGTGTAGTAAGGTTATTTTTGGATGTTCACTGAAATCGATAATGAGTTAGGCATGTGCGCAGATTTAATGGGATGATGAGTAAGATGTTAGCTTGACGCTTTACTATCGAGACTGGTCGTGGATAGCAGTCATGTAGTATTTGAATACCTTGTAAGCTTGTCATAGAGGTGTATTTATTCATCATACCTACATAACTTAACTTAAATACATATTTCACTAAATAGTAACTTTTTGGATTTCACGTAACACTTAGTCTAATTGCAGTCTTCGTATAGTAAATTACTTTTGAAGACTAGAAAACCTAGCTCGATCTGAGAATAAACTCTGTCATCTCTTACTTACATAATACATAAGTAAGAAATAAGAATGATTATTTGCACGAAGTAGGGTCATTACAGGTGATAATGATAAAAAAAAATAGTCCCACATACATCGCCTACTGTTTTCGGCATGCAAATTTAGATGTTAAAATGTTATAATTAATTTACCATATTAATGAACAAATGACCTGTCAACACTTAACAAAGTTTTGTTCGTATTTGTACACTATTCCATGATAGTCTTTTGTTATTTAATTGTAGTACAATTTTATTGTTAGTCCCCTGTGACTCCTCGACTACTGCGGACTGCCTCATCAGCTACTCCTAATGACTATCGTCTCTGTTTCGAAATGTTTCGCGAAACTAAGCATTTTCCCTTTGTATCGAATAATTTTATAGGCTGTGGCGAAATGTAGATTGTGTTAATTGTCGAATTAATTTCGATTTCAGACTCGAAACGTTTTGCTTAATCAGCTACCATTGAATTGGAGCAATTTGTTTTGATTATTATAACGTTTTATCGTTACTTTCGCAGCAATTAAATACAAATTGTATACCTTAGTATAGATATTAGTTGTGTAAGGACATACTTTTACAAAATGAGACATTATTAGGCTCTCCAATATACCTTGTTACATACAAAATTAAACCTTAAAACCTTCTTCGAAACACTGATCTGGCTAATAATGTAAATAAATACAGCTACGGTTATAATTTGTGAGCAATAAGGCCCAATTTGCGATTTTGTTGTAAAAGGTAAGAAATATAACGTTTAATGTATTTCGTGTTCGTATCACGGCTGACATTATAAAATATAATATATTTTGCGTCCCGGCTTCGCCTGTCGCCACGTTTAAGTAGACTTACTTTTACGCAATTGGCACACAAATCACGAAGCAACAAAGTGGAGGGTCGTATGTGTAGTCTCGTTGGGTTTTCGTAATTTTGGTTTAAGTTGTGGGTATAAGAATCTTGTACGAACAAATTTCACAGCATTCAAGTATTGCAGTTACAAAAATGCACTTTGTACTATATTATATTGAATGTTTGCATTGATCCACAGCCTCTTACATCTATTAATGTATACATCATGTATTTGGTTATATAGCATTGTGAATAACATTAGCGTATATAATTTTTATACATATAAGTAACTAAAAATTAAAAAATATTTCACCCATCACTGAACATTTTACAACCCAAAAATCTCCTAGGTCTACTATGAATACGTCCCCAAACGAGTGAGGCTCGCGTCGACAGAAAGATTTCCCGGCGGAAAATAAAAAGGAGGCCATACTTAATACACAGATGTAGGGCTGTCCATTTCACTCCACTTGATAAGGACGCTGCGTCAATTTCCTTCATTAAACCTCACTTACCCAGGTACAGCTCCTTCCACGAACTTTCGGAAAGAAACTCTGATTTATCAGTAATTTTGTGGAAACTTATTTTAGAAGGGTAAGTGTATGGCTTCGTATGTTTCATTTACTTCATTTACTAGGTAAGAGAAATCCTCTTCGGTATTCGGTATTCATGGAAATGCATGGTTCGTTGAAGATCGTAGATAATCGGAAAGGCTTTACTCAAACACTCACAGGTATTTAAAAAGAGAAAAATATTTTGCCGTTTATCAGTGAAAATTATCCATGTCACTGGAAGCTTGCACTCCGACTTCCAGTTCATGTCGTGTGAATAAACAAACAATAACAAGGTAAGCAGAACAATAAAACAATTATTTAACTTTTTATTTGTCTCGGCCAGATTGTGACGTTCCTCATGGTATGAATTCGCTCCAGTAATTTCAGTTCACTGGTAACTGGCAACACATTGCTTCATTCCGTGTGACGTCACTATGCAGTTGTGTGACAGAAGGTTCAGTTACCGTGCATATTCAATTTAGTTTAATTTAATGTTTTTTTTAAGGGGGGAAAATCATCGAATGACTGCTCCTGCCTGGGTGAGGCGGGAGGGAGTGTCAGACTCTTACTGACTAAGAACGACCCCGTTCCTACTCCTGGACGTCGAGCCGGAGCCCCAGTTACCCGTTACTAATTTGAGGTTAGGAATGTAATTTCGATGAATCATAGAATAAGTATTATTTACACCATTAATGTTACAATCAACTTTTAACTTCTACAAAAGGTAATCGTAGGTGTAAAAAGAAGCAAATGTTGCTCTTAAATACTAGACACTAGAACAAGCAAATATGGGGTTGAAGATAGTGAACCTTCTTCAAAGTAAATGTTGTAATGTTCCACTATTATTTCAGTAATCGTCTTATCTTGGACGAGTGTCCCCGCAGCCCAACGTTAGTCCAGTCCAGCTCTTAATAACACTGGTCACGTGACCTTTAACCTTAGACATACAAAATTGTTGGTGTCAGCCTGTTGGAGGCAGAAATATTTACAAGATGTTTCCATGAAATATATCGACATTCCATCGACATTTTTCAATAAATATCTAATATTTAAAGAACTACTAGAACATCTCAAATTCTAAGCCGAAGACTTTAGTAAAATTTTAACAGTAACTTGTGCATTTCTCGATAACAAAGCGCAAATCACACCGGTAAATGCGCATTGACGTATATAATGATAACTTGCAATATGTCTTGGCCGAGTTCCAACTCTCCGGCCATAAACCGTCCCCGATTTACGGCCGTTTAAAATTTTGTGACAGTTTTACGAAGTCATAATCAATTTCGATGTATTATTGAATATCTACTTGGCTTCTGATAATATGGTTATAAACTTATTGAACTATTGGTGTTGTAAAACTTACTTATGATAAGTAATAAATTAGATTCATTAATATAATGAAAAGGACTGAACTTATACGTAATGGTCATCATCAACAGCCTATAAATGCCCACTGCTGAGCAAAGCCTCTTCTCACACGGAGAAGGTTTGAGCAATAATCACCACGCTTGCGGGTTGGTGTTTACATGCATGAGAAGCGGGCGTCTTAACCCTCCGGGCCACCACGACATTTACGTACGTAATGTTATTGATCGAAAACTATTAAATATAACTGAAAGAGTGGAATATCTATATAGATAAATGGAATTTGAGTGTCTGTTTGTAATATTAAAATAACGAATATACATTACGATACACACCTAATTTTGCTTGTCAGTTTTTTGCTTGTCAGTCTGTTTTTACTGTCTTATCTCTTGAATGGCTGGCCCGATTTTGCAAGACTTTTATTGGCAGGTAGTTGATGTACTAAGGAGTAATATAGGCTACGTTTATATTGGAAAAGCGGATGAAGTCGCGGGTAACAGATAATTATATTGATGATTCTGAACTCAATATTAATTGCTAATTGAGTATACTTTTGAACTTTAGATTGTCAAAAATGATTATGATACATTGGAAATGCGATGAAAATATTTTTGATCAGCCAGATCTGCCATTAGACATTGCCGTCAGTTTTTTAAACCACTTATAATGCCTTGACAAACAAGCTACTGTACACAATTCATGTAGATAAATTTCTACAACTTTACGCCTAACCTCAGATCATAATTTCTAAACTATTTGAACAATGACGTCATAACCATTGATGGGCAACATATCGTATAAACGTCACAATAGTAGTGTACCGTATTACCGGCATTGGCAGATAATAGGCTATCCCCATGCATAATAAGAGGTCGTTAGTCTCGGGGTAAGCTGTCGCCTGTCCTACAATGTTTGAGTAGTTTCAATTCATTTCGGCAGTACCCTTTGTCTTTAGAGGGCATGAATTATAAAGAGATTGTGTTATAAGTTTAGTGGTAAGAAGAGCGATTATCGAGCATGGACTTTGGTTTCGAACGCCTATGCATTGGGGGTTAAAGCTTTAGAATCAGTATAATATGCGGTTAGCCAAGTTGTCATGGTGGTCAGGAGGCTAAGACGCCCGCTTCTCATGCATGAGAGTGTTGTTTCGAAAACTCCCAAAAGCAAGTACCAATGTGACATTTTCCGAGTTATATGTACTTTCTAAGATTATTTAGACACCATTAACAAACAGTAAAAGAAAACATCGTGAGGACACCAGGTGACTTATAATTTCTTATAAGTTAGATTGAAATAGTCATCGCAATGATCAAGCGTGGTGATTAATGCTCAAACCTTTTCCATGTAAGAAGAAGCTTTGCTTAGCAGAGGACACTTATGGGCTGTTGTTGATGACGATGATGATGACGCGACCACTCAATATTCTTTAAGACTTTGTCTACTGACAGAAAGTCTTGAGAACGAATCTCCACTAGTGTACCACACAGATGTTGTCCCCGATGGCGCTCAATGTGTTAAGAAGGAATACATTTCTATTAACTATTCGTAAAAAAGACATACGCAGTACATAATATAGGCATATAAAATAACTTTACCCCTCATTAGAACACTACAAATTTCAACAGAACTTGAACTAGAAACTAAATCTGGCAATCTGTCAGCCCCCTAGAGAAAGAAACCTTCACAAGTTTATATGTAACTGTAAGACTTTAGGCGAAAATATATGAAGATAAATATAACATTAATAAAGGAAAGTTATTAGCCAGAGTGTCTCAGTAAATTGTTTTGATAACTTGCGTCGTGTGAGTTATAAAAGTAAATAGCAACAGGTCGCTAAGATTACGAC